TAACCCCTTTGGGGAAAAACGAAAGGGAGAACACAATCTATACATACATAAACATTTTTAATTTAATACATACAAGTCTTAATTCCCGAAAAAAAAACTTAGGAAACCCAAAGGACTCTGGGTGTTCCTTAAGATGTGTACCGGTTTGTGAGACAGTGGCCAGCACTGCTCGTGGATGAACTCAGAGCTCATCACCAGTGGATCCCTTCCTTGGGCAATCATGATACTATCCTGGGGAACTGTACCCATGTCAAACCACTGCCACTTCCTTTCTCACTGCTTCTGCTAACCTGTGGCACACTTATACTGAAGCCCATGAATGAATTGAAGGGAAAACCTTAGAAATCTACAAATATAACCAGTTATGTTTTCTCAATTAGTTTCTAAAAGGTGAACTATATTCCTCTTCTCTAAGGCCTGTCTCTTTGGTGATTAAAATCAAACAACACCAGAAACCAACGCTTAGCATGTGTTAATGAGGACATGAGGCTACCCAAATGAAAAGCTTCATTTCCTAGTCTGAATCCTAACTCCAGAAATGGAAGTATGCTTTGGCATGGGACTTGGAAATAATCGCATTGCTAAGTTGTCCTTATGTTTTATATTAGCTAAGCTGCTGATGGGCCAGAGGGAAGGGGCTGTGTATATTTTATACCCCTCCCCCCGAACATGTATAGACAGTAGTGCTTGGAAATCACATGTTCTATGTCAAGTATTTTGCTCTTCATACACACAATGTAAAATTATTTAAAAGGAGGGAGGGGAGAGAGAAAAAGGTAGTGAAAGTGAGTCATCAAATGCAACTTTCCTGTAACCAACCAAACAGAACCTTTAAACTGTTTGTCTTTAAATAAATGTTGTGTAGGTCACATAAAGTGATCGGGGAGGAGAAAATGGAAGGAGAGAAGACACTCACCTAGTTCAGGTGCTTTGCTTAGCACAAATGCATAAGCCCAGAATTTGCTGACAGGTCCATTGTAAAAACTCTGGTCACAAACTGACTGCTTCAGGCCTTTGGTCATCAAAATGTACACCATATAAGCACCAGTTCGAAGAGCACCGAATATACTTCATAAGTGAAAAGAGAAAAGAAATAACATTTAGGAAAATAATTTCACTTCTGACATTAACCATACTTGGAAGGCTGTTTGCCATTGGTCAAACAGGCATACATGTACCATAACAACTTGCATTTACCCAGAAGCAATGTTGGCATGGGTATTCCAATGTTTATTCCAATGTTCTGTGAACAAGAGTAATAAAAACTCAGGGCTTTATTCTGAAGAGCTTACATAAACCACTTAGTTTTCGTAAATATTCCAAAAAGAGGTCACGGAAAAGGGGAATGGATCCAGGGCAGGAGCTCATGAAGAATGCTGATGACGTCCATAGTTTAGCTTAAGAATCCTGGGGATGAGATAGGGTTGGCTGAGAACTCTTAGAATTGTCCCAGTTCTGTCCTATGGCCCCTGGCTCTATTCCTGGAATCTCTCTTTTTATTTCTTTCAGCCAGCGCTGCCTGTGCATTTGGACAGCACAGGCTTCCTTGGCCTCCTGCAGCAGCTTCTAAACCACTGTCCTTGGTTCTGTCTTCCCACTGTCCCATCTATCTTTTTCACAGAAACCAGAAGAAGCCTCCTTCAAGTCTTAGCTCTACTGCCATTTCCTCCAGGAAGCCCTCCAGGCTCCCTCCTCTGAGCGCCCATAACCATGTACTAACACTGCTCAGATGCTGTTCTTTGATGCCCGGTCATGTGTTTGCCTCCACACAGACATGAGTGCTCAAAGACTGCTGAAAAAGTGAAAGTTCATTGGGAAATAAATGGACATATGAAATTTTTATCAAGGAAATGCTAAAGAACAAGGGAGCTGAGAAGTGTTGAGCTCAGTGATGTAACCTCAAGTGTGAAAGGACTTGGCAACTGGAACCAGTGGCCTCTATTATGACTGAACCCTGTGGGCATAAGTCTCATTATGCAAACCACACACATGACTAAAAGGAAAGCTGGATGGCCATCTGGGGAGATGTGCTTGCCCACCCTTTTTCTGGCAGTATCCCTGTCTAGGTTCTAGAAGTCAGTTAGGAGAAAAACTAGTGAAATGAGTAGCAGCATCACCAAACTGGAAAATAGCTTTTGTTTCTCTTCCTAATTATGACTGGGGAGTTGAATTTCATTGGTCAAGTCAGGTAGGTAATGGAGATGTTTCTGTTTTATCTGAATTCATTATATGTTTCATCTTTACCTTACCAGATAAGGCTAATTTTTAATAGGAAGTCACCTGATTAAGGTCATTACCATATTGGACACTTGGAAGGTAATATGAAAATATGAACGTGGCATCTCCACAGAGCAAATGTAACTGACACAGTTGGTCAATTCCCTATTCAAGAGCCAATTCCTCTCCTCCTTCTCCATATTAAAGGAATCCTGATTTAGTCCAGGTTCTCCCAAGGAAGTTGACCTCATCCTCAATTTGGGAGTAAATTTCAGTTGCCTAGGCAAGTTGTAGTAATCCAGTTTCCCTTAGCAATAACTTTTAAGGTCTGCACGGGCCTAATTCAAGACAATGCGATGTGAGGAGAGAGCTGCTTAGGTCTTTTGGGAAAGCTTTCCTCACTCTTTACCACGTGTTACCTGGAAGGGCAGCAGCTATCTTGCAACCATTGAGGAGCTCCCTTGAGAACAAAGCTAACTCAGAGGGGATGGCAAAGTAGTCCTTCAAGATGTGACTCTTCTGCTCAATGAATCATTCAGTGACTTTATCTCAAGACGTCTTGTTTTTGAGGTAAAGCTTTCTTATTGTGTAAGCCATTTGGAGTTCTGCTTTCTACTGCTTGCAGCCCAAAGCATCCCGGCCGACACAATGCTCAGGGTTTGATGTTCGGTAGACTTTTGAACGCTAGTTAACATGTTGTGGCTACAAAATGCACCTAGTCATAGATACTGCTGGTGAAGTACTTACTACATCAATTGCCTGCTTTTCGTAGACCGGTGGGAGATATGTCAATGACTTTTGTACACACCAAAAGCACAGAAACACACAAATGACACACTTTGAACATGTATCCATCTCTGCTCATTAGTGCCAGATATATGATATTTAGGAATCATCAGCACATTTTACAGAGCATGTCTCTCCCCATTGGCTGCAGCCCAACATCCCCAGTAAGCAAAGCCCTTCTTCTGCTATGTCATTCTGCTATGTCATTCTGCTATGTCATTCTGCTTCACCCATGATCAGAGTAGATTCAGGGAAAGTACTTTTGGAATAGTTACTATCTTTCCATCTTCCTGAGTCACCAAAATCACTGTAGTTTAACTACACCCAATTTCTTAAGTATCAGCATAGTTTAACTTATTCTTTCAGTTGTTAAAGTTTTTTTGGCACTGTCCTAGATGCTGGGGTGACAAGAATCAACAAGCCAATTCTGCTGCTGAAGGTAGTGGTGGCCCTGGGAGACGTCAGAGGAAGTGGCATTTGAGTTACGGACAAATAGTTCTTCAAGCGTGAGGGTTAGAAGAAGGTCATTTCAGAGGATTTTAGACTTGAAAGTTTAGACACACGGTGACCCACAGTGTTGCTGACAACAAGAACATAGCACATATCATTGTCCCGGATCTGGTCATAAGCCTCACTCCCTTGACTCTGAACAATAAGGCTGACTCAGAACAGAGGACAGTACATTTCTCAGGGACACTGTCGGTGCCAGCCATCGGGCTTATGTGTCCGTGGGCAAAGCCGCTTTGTTGGGGTGTGACAATGCTACCACAGGGAGCCATTGGGGAGCTGCGTGGCCAATGAGATGATTGTTAGTTGTGGGAAGCCAGTAGTTCTGCCCCTGGCACATCTCAGCCACTAGACACTGAGGAATCATGTGGCTTTTTATTAAAACTGTGCTCAGGGCTTAGACTGTGACACTTGACCAAAATATACTTTAAGGGAGGTGATGTTTTTCCTCCCTAAGTTGCATCATCTTGTGAGATTCTGTGATGCAAGAGTGAAATACGCGGCATATGTTCTGCTACCCGCAAACCTTAGATTAGCCATGGGCAAACTATGGCCCGCGGGCTGGATCCGGACCGTTTGAAATGAATAAAACTATTGAAAAAAAAAGACCGTACCCTTTTATGTAATGATGTTTACTTTGAATTTATATTAGTTCACACAAACACTCCATCCATGCTTTTGTTCCGGCCCTCCGGTCCAGTTTAAGAACACATTGTGGCCCTCGAGTCAAAAAGTTTGCCCACCCCTGCCTGCCTTAGATACTCATGGCTAATGAGGCTTGACACTCCTCCTGGCCACGCCTAGACATAGCATCAAAGATTTCAACCACTCTAGGCCACTACCAATAGATTAGAGTTGCAAATTCCAATCACAGTGCTCTCCCTTACTACTCTCATGACTGGGCACATTACTTCACCTCTCTTAGTCTTTCTTCATCTGAAAAGATAATCATATCTAACCTGCAAATTATTTCTACAAATTTTACGACAATATAGGTAGGAAAAAAAAGACAATATAGGTAGGTATTTAATCAGCAAAGACTCTCTAATATGTAAGTGCTGAATATTAGTTTGCACCAATTATTATGTAATTACTATTTATTGCTATTATTGCTGTTTTACTTAATTTATCTTTCATTGTTAAAAAATCACATACCTCACTCATCTCCATGTGTCAGGAAGGAGAGGTGAAAGCTAATTAAAAGCCTAGGAAACCGATACACAGAGAATTTGATTTGAACTGATGATTATCCATGTTAATTAAATATTTTATTGTTAGGTATTTTATTTCATGAGCCAACTTTTCACAAAATAAGTGTCAGCTACCAAGTTCACACTATGATATGAAATGAGCATTTTTCCATAGAATGTCTTGAAGGGAAGACTGTGGGTATAGAAAAGCATCAGGTGACATTTATCTTTTGATCAGATGATAAAGATTCCAAATCTAGGGCCTTAAAGAGGCCGAGAGACTGGGCCATTGTGTTTGACGGGGGCAGATGACTACCACATCACATGCCTTCCCCAGCTGCAGGGTCACACCGGCAGCCTTTATTTGGTTTTAGTTTTTTTTTGTGTGTG